AAGAAGGCTCCCTGTGAAAAATCTGAAAGTACTGTTACTTGGCTGTGGCTTCTAATCAATTTAAAACTAGTCAAAAGCTTTTATAACTGCTTTCTATGTTAGTTTTTCTACAGCAGGTTTCACTTGCAAGGTTAAAATAATCGAGGGAGGGGAATGCTTTTTTATGTGAACAGATGTTTAGAGTTTTCCTGTTCTTGTTAAGATCGGTGCAACTATTTACTAGCAAAACATTTGACCATCAGTGTGTAATATATCCAGAGCATTTCCAGAGTTCCCATGTATCAGTGTCTGAGGTTCATGATATTACGGTCCGGGAAGACCCGAGCCGTAGAGATTTGTTGGTATTTCCAGAGTGAAATTAAGACACAAATGAGGTCAAATGCTGCCAGTCAAACAGATTTATTGATCATTTATTCAAACGAAGGCATGAGGAAAACGGCGACAAGAAAGAGAGGAAAAGACAGGAAAGGAAGAAACCTAACAAGCAGTCGACATAGTCGCAAGAGATAGTCACCAGCATGGATCCAGCAGCGTCCCGTTGTTCTGTGATTTCTGTGTGCGTCAGTGGTGGGGGGCCCCCCGTTGTCTGGTCACAAGGCCTTTTATAAGGTGTTCAGGGAGATTGTTCCCTAGGCAATGGCATGTACCCCACGTTCCCCAGTCCCATGTATATGTGTTTTCTCAGTCCTGGCTCTGGTAGGTCAGGGAGGGGGTCGGTGTCTAGACACATTTTCCACAATGACATACCTGCCCTCTAACTCCCTTCAAGGCTGTTTTCAGGTGGTTGTTTTATGCCTTGTCTGGTTTGTATTTGGCTGGCCTGCCAGGAGATCCTGCAGCGAGCTGGGCTGCAAACAAGCTTTGCTGGCCTGCTAGGAGGTCCTGCAGCGAGCTTTGCAAAGAAGCTTTGAGGCAGTTGTCTTAAGATATGGTCTCTGACACCACCCCGTGACTCAAAGGTGGTTGTTTCTTCGCTCCTGGTGGTGAAAATGTAGAGAAAACGGCTAAGTGTGGAAAAGAGCTTAGTTTATACTATTCTTACAAATGAAATTTTAGGTATAGATATATTGCGTGGATATCTTCAACATCATTGTGAGACGAGGCGGCTATAAATGGCATATTTGAAACAGTGCGTTGGATTAACTGTAGAAAACATGGAATTAAACAGGGAAGGAACAATAACAATGCAACACCACATAACATATTGAAAAGAACACATTTGACTCGTGGGGCACCTGGAAGCCAGGAGAAGGGATCAAATTCCCAACCCTTCCAGCTTTGGACGGGGACGTGGGTCAGCTTTGGTATTCCCAAAGCGATTTGTTTAACAACTTGACAATTATTGTCAATTTTTAAACAGTAGTTAGAATCATTCGGTCTACCACAGATGCCTCCCTCCTCGGCTAGGAGGTAATTGAGAACCACGTGGAGTTAAGAGTATCGCTGCCCGCATTTGCTTGGCCTGATCTGCCAACAGATCAAGTGCACAGGCCGTCTCATTAGTAATGATTTCTAGGACGGCTTGCAGCTGGATAATTCCATTTAAGTTGTAAATAGGTTCTCAAGCACCTCTGATCCACTCATTGGGGTTCCAGGTGGCAGGTCCATAATGTTGTATAATACCTGGAGTGGTCCACTCATCTTTGTCCCAGATTTGTTTACTTCCACCTGCTATTGAGGTATCAATGGACCACCAATTTCATTTGAGATCACCATATAATTTAACACCTAATCCATTGCCCTCTTTCTCTGGGAGCAGAAAGAACAAGGGGCAGATCATCCCCACATAGCACACTCCAGTTCTTAGGAACGCCTGTATGCGTGGTGACCGCAAATCCAGTGATGACCTTTTAATGCCCAGGTGCCACTTTCAGACAGGGCCATGGGTATCCGTGGCAACTGGAAATATGTTGAGTTATCTATTCCCAGAGGATGGCACATTGACAGGGGTTGAGGGTAAGGTATCTAGTAAATGGAACAGGACCAAGCACCGGTGTCATTAATCCAGAAGCAAGTAACACTGGTGATACACGGTAGTGTGTAATTTTTAGTGGATTTGGGGATATAAATTCTGGACTGATAGTGGGAGACAAAAACCAGGAAAACCATTTTCTGTGTCCTGTTTAACTTACCCAGGCCCAGCTGGGCCAGCGGGATACAAGACTCAAGGCTTTGGACCTAAAGAGGTGACAGTATGTCTGGCCACCTCCACGGAACACAAAAGCGGTCAGATTTGAACTTCTTGAGCAATCAATGGGTTTACAACCATCAGTGAGGCAATAGTTACTATAGGCATAAGTCCAGGTACACTTGCTATTTCCCAAGAAAACCCCACCCTCTTGTGTTCAGTTTAGGCAATGCACACCTTGGGCTGGGTATTGTATTGCCTAGGGCTGTGAGTCTTCATTCCAATAGGAATCACTTTTGACTTCACGGTAATTACTCATAACCATTCAGGGGAAATGGGGACAGCAGTCCATGGCCAGCTCTCCAGACCGGTTGGACCACCACAGACCCAACAATTGCTGAGGTTAAATTGATGATCTACTTCAGAACCTAGCACTATAAATTTATTTTCCCACTTGTGTCCCAAAGTGGGAAGAGAGAGGTTTCCTGTGGTGCTAAGGGTGAAGAGAACGGTTGCCCAAAAACAGTGCCTGCGATGGTAAACTGTGCATCCTATAAATATTAATAGAGCTATAACCATCAGTATTATACAAAGAATCAGGATCACCATCTATTTGCCTCCCGGCAAAGGCTTTGATTTTTGTCCCACAGACTTTGTCTGTTAAAGGAAAAGAGAAAAAACCATACTCGGTCCCCAGAGAACTGGAGTTATACCAATATCAAAAAGACGGGACAGTCTATCTTGCATTAATTTTGTGTTCTTTCCCATGGGCTTCTTTTCCCTTCCAGATGTATTTATTTATGGGGGTTTCAAGTACCAGTGGCATGGTTCTGACGGTGGGTAATGCTACCAACACTGGCTGACCTGGAAAGTGAGAGAGATTTTGGGGATGGTCAGGGCCATAAACATTTGAGATCAAATTGGGGACCTTAGGACAAAAAGCTATGATCTTAGGGCATCCATTTACCCCCCCATCGATTGTTTACATAAGTAATTGCGTCCCAAAATCGCTTCAACCATTCCGATTCATGGGGCTTAAGGAAATGCTTAAGAATGCTGATTAGGCTTTCCACTATTCCATTTGCTTGTGGATAATAGGGCGCGTGGAAAACCCACACAATCCCTTCTCCAGCAGGAGAGGAAACAGTGACAAGAAAGAGAGGAAAAGACAGGAAACAAAGATACTTAGCAAGCAGTCGACATAGTCACAAGAGATAGTCACCACCATGGATCCAAACAAGCTTTGAGGCAATTGTCTTGAGATACGGTCTCCGACACATGATTATTCAACTGTGCTGATTAGCTTTTTCTTGTGACTTGGTCTTGTTCAACTCGCACTGACTATTTTTTAGTTTCTGCATTATTTTGAATGTTTTGTGTATCAACTAATTGTTGTTTATGGAGCCAAAAATTAGTGTGACTAACCTATAATCCTGTGACATCCAGATGGGAATGCTATGTTTGCTGCTCCCATACCCTGACTAGTCCCTAGTGGTATTTTGCACGTTGTAGTGACAAGCTTTACGCAGCTTTATTTTTGTCACTTGTAGATATTTTTCTTTTTTTTCCTTTGTATTGTGCTTCTACAAACTCATTTACTCTGTTAACTGTCTTATTATTATTAACACTTTTTAGTGATGTAGAAGGTATTAAATGCTTTGGCTTTGCTTTCACTTACAGTGATTTCCCTCCCATGCCAAAGAAGAGATCTCTACTGTGTTTAACTACTCATTCATAAAATAACTAGGTTTTTTTCTTCTGGCTTTTTTGTCTGCTGATAATTGTAACTAATTCTGTGCCTATGCCTTTTTGATGTTAATCTTACAGTTTATGCAGTTCCTTTCTGTTTTTTTGTTTTTCTTCAACTCTTGTTGTTTATCCTTTTTTCCATTTGGCAGAATTTTTTAAAGTTTCTAAAGATGCCTTGTATTGACACAACACTGGGCCGCTGTAAATTCTCTTCTCATCTGCATCACAGTAGTTTTCTCTTGATGCAAGCCTGCCTAACATCTTTTCAGTAAAAACTAAGTTCTCCTGTACTCCTTACTCAGTGTTTTTAAGTGTTTTCTCATTTCTTTATTGAACACTAGTATTTTTCCAGTGAAGTATGAGTAATTAATCAATCTACAGTAAGCTTATAAGGATTTAACTTACTCATGAATGCTTTACAAGTAGCCCAAGGTTGTAAGGTGCTGCAGTCTATAGCATGTAAGTCATAGTAGAGACGAAAGAATTTCTTCTCAGCTCTGTGAGTTGGTTGGAATTTGCACTACTTCAGTGTGTTGTTTGCTTGGAAGTTTTCATTTCTTTCTTCTCCCCCTCCCTTTTTTTTTCACCATGATAGCTAAAGTTTGTTTCTTCATATCAGGCAGGGTAAAATCTGAGACATTCAAAATACCATTGAATTTGTTTCATGGTCTGAAGTAAAATCCTTGATAATTCCAAGAACATCTAGTACTTATTTTCTGCCTTGTCCGAGAATCAACGCCATAGTCATCTGTTGTTTCTGATTAGGATATCTGTAGTACAAAAGGGACAAGGTAGATTTCATCAGAAAATGTTGTTTAGTTGTGCCCTTGCTTCCTCTGGATCTACAAGTTGAGTACTCAGTGTGCCAGGCCCTTTCTTAATCTGATCCTCTTCTCTTAAATGAGACATCACTCCAGTTTTATTATGATCTCCAAAACACTGCTGTGGTTAGTATCAGTAGTTCACATTAACATAGCTTTTGTTTTTATAATCTGCCTCTAGACATTCAAATGCAATCTTGATATTCCAGCTTTGAATGGTGCTTGTAGTTTTGTTTCCTGTTACCAGAAAGGTTAGTACTTCAACCTCACTTTTTGTGC